TAGGAGTTTTGTGATGAAGGTGGGGGTTTGGTGGTGTTGGGGGCTGTAGTGATGGGGCTGGGTAGTGATGGGGGCTTGGGTGATGGGGGCTTGGTAGTGATGGGGGCTTGGTAGTGATGGGGGCTTGGTAGTGATGGGGGCTTGGTTGAGATGGGACTTTGTCTAGGAGGGCTATGGCTAGGCTAGGTCTATGGGGGCTTGGGTTAGGAGGGTTGGAATCAGGGGAGCTGAGTTTATGGAAGCTGGGCTATGGGGCCAAGATCTATGACGCCTGGGGCTAGGGAGGCTGGGTCTAGGTAACTGTGCCCAGGGGTCTGGGGCTAAGGGCAGGGTATACGTGGGCTGGGCTTAGGATGCTTGTGCTATTGTGGCAATGGATAAGGGGTTAAGGCTAAGGTTCTGGCGATAGGAGAGCTGTGGCTAGGGAGGCTGGGGATAGAGAGTCTGGGGTAGGGGTCAGGGGCTAGGGAGGCTGGGGTTAGGATTAAGGGTCCTGGGGCTAGAGGATGGGGCTATGGGGTAAGGCTGGAACTAGGGGCTGAGACTTGGAGGGCTAGAGCCAGGAGGGCTATGTAGGTGGATGCAGACCAAACAACCAATACGAGGGTCGGCGGTACCAATAAAGGGTTCCTGAGTTGCACACATTCTCTAGTGCGTGAGAGACAGAGAGACACAGGTTCTCCCGTGTGAGAGAGACAGGGAGATAAAGGTTCTCCCGTGTGTGAGAGACAGAGAGACACAGGTTCTCCCGTGTGTGAGAGACAGAGAGACACAGGTTCTCCCGTGTGAGACAGAGAGACACAGGTTCTCCCGTGTGAGAGAGACAGGGAGATAAAGGTTCTCCCGTGTGTGAGAGACAGAGAGACACAGGTTCTCCCGTGTGAGAGAGATAGGCAGATAAAAGTTCTCCCGTGTGTGAGAGACAGAGAGACACAGGTTCTCCCGTGTGAGAGAGACAGGGAGATAAAGGTTCTCCCGTGTGAGAGACAGAGATAAAGGTTCTCCTGTGTGTGAGAGACAGAGAGACACAGGTTCTCCTGTGTTGAGAGACAGGAGACACAGGTTCTCCCGTGTGAGAGAGACAGGGAGATAAAGGTTCTCCGTGTGTGAGAGACAGAGAGACACAGGTTCTCCCGTGAGAGAGATAGGCAGATAAAGGTTCTCCCGTGTGTGAGAGACAGAGAGACACAGGTTCTCCCTGTGTGAGAGACAGGAGATAAAGGTTCTCCCGTGTGTGAGAGACAAGAGACACAGGTTCTCCTGTGTGTGAGAGACAGAGAGACACAGGTTCTCCTGTGTGTGAGAGACAGGGAGATAAATGTTCTCCTGTGTGTGAGAGACAGAGAGACACAGGTTCTCCTGTGTGTGAGAGACAGAGAGACACAGGTTCTCCTGTGTGTGAGAGACAGGGAGATAAAGATTCTCCTGTGTGTGAGAGACAGAGAGACACAGGTTCTCCCGTGTGTGACAGACAGAGAGACACAGGTTCCCCGTGTGACAGACAGAGAGACATGTCTCCCGTGTGTGACAGACAGAGAGACACAGGTTCTCCCGTGTGTGAGAGACAGAGAGACACAGATTCTCCCGTGTGTGACAGACAGAGAGACACAGGTTCTCCCGTGTGTGACAAACAGAGAGACACAGGTTCTCCCGTGTGTGACAAACAGAGAGACACAGGTTCTCCCGTGTGTGAGAGACAGAGAGACACATGTTCTCCCGTGTGTGGCAGACAGAGAGACACAGGTTCTCCCGTGTGACAAACAGAGAGACACAGGTTCTCCCGTGTGTGACAAACAGAGAGACACACGTTCTCCTGTTTCTGAGAGACAGAGAGATAAAGGTTCTCCCCTGTGTGTGAGAGACAGAGAGACACATGCTCCGGTGTGTGACAGACAGAGAGACACAGGTTCTCCTGTGTGAGAGACAGAGAGACACAGGTTCTCCCTGTATGTGACAGACAGAGAGACACAGGTTCTTCTGTGTGTGACAGACAGAGAGACACAGGTTCTCCCGTGTGTGCCAGGCAGAGACACAGGTTCTCCCGTGTGTGAGAGACAGAAAGACACAGGTTCTCCTGTGTGTGACAGACAGAGAGAACACAGGTTCTCCCGTGTGTGAGAGACAGAGAGACACAGGTTCTCCCGTATGTGACAGACAGAGAGACACAGGTTCTTCTGTGTGTGACAGACAGAGAGACACAGGTTCTCCCGTGTGTGCCAGGCAGAGAGACACAGGTTCTCCCGTGTGAGAGACAGAAAGACACAGGTTCTCCTGTGTGTGACAGACAGAGAGACACAGGTTCTCCTGTGTGTGACAGACAGAGAGACACAGGTTCTCCTGTATGACAGACAGAGAGACACAGGTTCTCCTGTGTGTGACAGACAGAGAGACACAGGTTCTCCTGTGTGTGCCAGGCAGAGAGACACAGGTTCCTGTATGTACAGACAGAGAGACACAGGTTCTCCGTGTGTGACAGACAGAGAGACACAGGTTCTCCCGTGTGTGTGAGAGACAGAGAGACACAGGTTCTCCTGTGTGTGAGAGACAGGGAGATAAAGGTTTCCTGTGTGTGAGACAGAGAGACACAGGTTCTCCGTGTGTGTGACAGACAGAGAGACCAGGTTCTCCCGTGTGTGGAGAGACAGAGAGACACAGGTTCTCCTGTGTGTGACAGACAGAGAGACACAGGTTCTCCCGTGTATGAGAGACAGAGAGACACAGGTTCTCCCGTGTGACAGACAGAGAGACACAGGTTCTCCTGTGTGTGACAGACAGAGAGACACAGGTTCTCCTGTGTGTGAGAGACAGGAGATAGAGGTTCTCCTGTGTGTGAGAGACAGAGAGACACAGGTTCTCCTGTGTGTGAGAGACAGAAAGACACAGGTTCTCCTGTGTGTGACAGACAGACACAGGTTCTCCCTGTGTGTGAGAGACAGAGAGACACAGGTTCTCCCGTGTGTGAGAGACAGAGAGACACAGGTTCTCCCTGTGTGTGAGAGACAGAGACACAGGTCTCCCTGTGTGAGAGACAGAGACACAGGTTCTCCCGTGTGTGAGAGACAGAGAGACACAGGTTCTCCCGTGTGTGAGAGACAGAGACACAGGTTCTCCTATGTGTGACAGACAGAGAGACACAGGTTCTCCCGTGTGTGACAGACAGAGACACAGGTTCTCCTGTGTGTGACAGACAGAGAGACACAGGTTCTCCCGTATGTGTCAGACAGAGACACAGGTTCTCCGTGTGTGAGACAGAAAGACACAGAGTTCTCCCGTGTGTGACATGTTCTCCCGTGTGTGACAGACAGAGAGACACAGGTTCTCCCGTATGTATCAGACAGAGACACAGGTTCTCCGTGTGTGACAGACAAGAGACACAGGTTCTCGTATTGTGTCAGACAGAGACACAAGGTTCTCCAGTATGTGACTGACAGATAGACAGGGTTCTCCCGTGTGTGACAGACAGAGAGACACAGGTTCTCCCGTATGTGTCAGACAGAGACACAGGTTCTCCCGTGTGTGACAGACAGAGAGACACAGGTTCTCCCGTGTGTGACTGACAGATAGACACAGGTTCTCCTTAGTGTGACAGACAGAGAACACAGGTTCTCCCGTATGTATCAGACAGAGACACAGGTTCTCCCGTGTGTGACAGACAGAAGCACAGGTTCTCCCTATGTGTGACAGACAGAGAGACACAGGTTCTCCAGTGTGTGACTGACAGATAAGACGAAGAGACACAGGTTCTCCCGTATGTGTCAGACAGAGACACAGGTTCTCCCGTGTGTGACAGACAGAGAGACACAGGTTCTCCCGTATGTGACAGACAGAGAGACACAGGTTCTCCCGTGTGTGACAGACAGAGAGACACAGGTTCTGTGTGCAGCATCTTCTCTCGTCTACTGACATATCAGGCGACTATTGGCACTCAGGTGACTACTGCCACTCCCTGGTGACTATTGGCACTCTCATGTGATTCTTAGTAGTCAAGGTGATTGTTGGCACTCCCAAGTTATTTTTGGCACTTTCGGGTGATTGTTGGTACTGTCAGATTATTTGGGGCAATGTCACGTGATTGTTGACACTCCCAGGTGATTGTTGACACTCCCAGGTGATTTTTTTGTACTCCCAGGTAATTGTTGGCACTCCAAAGTTATTTTGGGCACTTTTAGGTGATTGCTGGTACTCTTGTGTGATTGTTGGCACGCTCGGATAATTTGTAGCACTCTAAGGTTATTGTTGGCACTCTAAGGTGAGTGTTGGCACTCCTAGATTATATTTGGCACTTTCAGGTGATTGTTGATACTCTCAGATTATTTTGGGCAATGCCACGTGATTATTGGCACTCTCAGGTGATTGTTGCACTCAGATTATTTTTGGCTATCTCATGTGATTGTTGGCACTCAGGTGACTGTTGGCACTCAGGTGATTTTTGGCACTCCCGGGCGATTGTTGGCACGTTAAGGTGATTATTGTCATTCTCACGTGATTGTTGGCACTCTCGTGTGATTGTTGGCACTCTAAGATGCTTGTTTGCACCCTCAGGAGATTGTTAGTTCGCTCATGTGATTGTTGTCTCGCTAAGGTGATTGTTGTCACTCTCACGTGATGCTTTGTATTCTAAGGGAATTGTTGGCACACACAAATTCCTTCACCCGTGACATTTCCGGATTAAACATTAAAATAAAACACAAACACCAACACTAGAAAAAAACAGAGTAAAAACAGAGTAAGAACAGAACCAAACAAAAACCAAGACATTGGGAGGCAGGAGAAAACACCATCATTAACTTGTCAAGTTCTCTCCCTCATTTAACAACCATATCTCAGTGTCTCGCTGTGTCTCGCTACGTCTCGCTGTGTCTCGCTACGTCTCGCTGTCTCGCTATATCTCGCTGTGTGTCCTTACGTCTCTCTATTTCCTGTGCCTCGCTACATCTAGCTGTGTCTTGCTGTGTCTCGCTGTGTCACGCTCAGGCTTGCTGTGTTTTGCTGTGTTACGCTCAGGCTTGCTGTGTCTTGCTGTCACGCTCAGGCTTGCTGTGTCTTGCTGTGTTACGCTCAGGCTTGCTGTGTCTTGCTGTGTTACGCTCAGGCTTGCTGTGTCTTGCTGTGTCACGCTCAGGCTTGCTGTGTCTTGCTGTGTTACGCTCAGGCTTGCTGTGTCTTGCTGTGTCACGCTCAGGCTTGCTGTGTCTTGCTGTGTTACGCTCAGGCTTGCTGTCTTGCTGTGTCACGCTCAGGCTTGCTGTGTCTTGCTGTGTTACGCTCAGGCTTGCTGTGTCTTGCTGTGTCACGCTCAGGCTTGCTGTGTCTCACTGCGCCTCGTATAATAAGGACCTCGCAGTATCACAGGCAGTTAGTTTTTACAGCATTTTGGGGGATTTTAATGTAAATTCCGTTTTTGTTTTTATTACAACAGTTTACGTTTTTTACAAAAGTTTAAATATTTACATTGTTTTACATTATTACAGCATTTACGTTTTATATGTTAGATTTTTACGTATAATTTTGCATTTCATTTTGAATCCCTATATTTCTTACAGCATTTTATTTATATTTTTTACTTTTCATTTAAAAAGCATTTTACGCTTTTTTTCATTGATGGCGGCATTTTAGATTTTTACACCACCCTACGTTTCACCATATATATAATTCTTCGTTTACAACATTTTATTCTTATTTACATTCTATTTTACAAAAAATTTCATCAATTTACGGTTTTTATACTAATTTCGCCTAAACATTAATTTGCGTTTTCAAAAATAAATTTTCGTATTTTTACATCACTTAAAACTTTTTACCCCGCTTACGAAGATCGAATGGTTATATTTCGATGAAGGGAACACACATCCACTGGAACTTAATATGTAGATGAGGGTAAAATTTGCATACATCTCTCCACGTGTTAGAGACCGTGTAATCCCTGACGTTCACTTCCTCCTTTAAGCTTATCGTGAGCTTTAGCTTGTGTATATCCTCATGTTGGTGAGGAAGCTCTTGGAGGTTGTGGAATTTAGCTGTGAAAGGTGTATGTGGGGGTAGGTGTGGGTGTGTGCGTGTTGGGGGTAGTTGGGTGTGTGGGGTGTTGAGGGTGTGTGTGTGTGTGTGTGTGTGTGTGTGTGTGTGTGTGTGTGTGTGTGTGTGTGTGTGTGTGTGTGTGTGTAGGCTTATCTGCTTTTGAGGAGGATGCATGTCCAGTACGTGTGTCCCTCTGTTTGTATATGTATTTACTGAAATTTTACGCGTTTGGATACCAGTTGCTTCTGTATATGACATCCTGGTTGCTTAACTGCTTGTGCCATTACACTAACGAGTTCATTCATGTCAAGTGTATGCATCAGTTTAAGTATACACACACACACACACACACACACACACACACACACACACGAACCGGCTGCAAATCTATTAATAAACCGTTTATTATTATTATTATTATTATTATTATTATTATTATTACACACACATAAACTTGTACGTATATCCGTAACAGCAAATCATAACGGAGAAATCAAAGCCGTTATAAAGGTCAGGTAGGTTGAAGGTCACTCAACATTTACCGGGGCTGTAATTAGAGAAGCAAACCTTGATATTTCTTAGGGTTATATTTAGAGATAATTGATTGATGCCAAGCGTGTGTTCCCGTATGTTGTTATGGTAACAGACATAAAACAGTTAACCTTATCCCAGTTATAATAAATGATTGTAGAACAGTTCGAGGGTAGGAGGGCCAGGTGGAGGCACAGACTGAGATGGATTAATTAAATTAAAAGTTTTGGTTCTCAAAGAAGTATTATTAAATTACTATATATTAATTCAATTCTATTGAATTTTATGATATATATATATATATATTAATATATATATATATATATATATATATATATATATATATATATATATATATATATATATATATATATATATATATATATGATAACCACAAGGAAAAAGAAAATGACGAAGTTCCCAAGCTGTGTAATTCACATCTTCAGGGTGGAGTACCTGATCACGCGCACCTAATAGTGATTTATATATATATATATATATATATATATATATATATATATATATATATATATATATATATATATATATATATATATATATATATATATATATATATATTATGAATTTCATATAAATATGAATATAGTACTTTAGTCTGAAGGCCATCAATATCTCGAACATGTTTGGATGCATCTGATATATAGTGCGTATTTCCGTGTTTCATAAAATATTTCCTGACTACCTAATGTTCGTGAACTCTACATTCAAACAAGAACAGAAATAAACTATAAGAAGAAACAGAGAGATAAAATAATATTAATTCCTTGTATTTGTTGATTAATTTGTGTACAAATTACTCGGTAGTGCTATATTTAATGACGATATATATTGAATTATCAACAACGTGAATGGAAATTATGATCAGCCTGACACTTGTCCCCAGTATATGGTGATGGGGAGGAGGTCCGGTTCGTGTGTATGTATTGTAGTGTTATCAACAAAATGTATCAGGATCAATGTTTGTATATTGAATGAACAAAAGACTGTATATTATTTTGTAGGATTTTATATAAAAGAATTATAGACAACGTTGAACCATTATATACCTGTTGTACTGTAACACTTGAAGAACAAATATATTTTCTTTGATGCGTTTCAATAACATCAAAAAATATTATCGGTCATTCATATGTGCATCAAAAGACAATGATTTATGAGTAAGAAACACGAAAAAAATACAAGATCCAATAAATTAAAAATATCACTTAAAATAATAATAATAACAATTATGTTATGCACTTCCACAATACATAACACTCATACCAAACAGCCTATCCTGTGTTGCACGGTACAGTGTTGGGATATTATTCGTGCATGTCTCCCCCCCCCCCCTTAAAAAAATGAACAGTAAAAAAGAGAAGCACTGAAATCTGTGTTCGCCAGTACGAAATATCAGTATTGAAATCGGTCCATCACACAACACAATATTTAGCTCTAAAAAAAAATGTTATATCGTCAAAAGATACTGTGGACCAGATTTTAAATGAATATTTTATAAAATCTGAATATTATTTTATGATGACCCTGTATATTATCAAAATCTGAACATTCTTTTATGATGACGTTGTATATGTTAAACTCTGGACATTCAAATTGAACATTCGTTTTTGATGACCCTGTATATATAAAAATCTGATAACTTTTCATAACTATACATATCAAAATTTCAACATTCTTTTTTGATGACTCTTTTAATTTTAGACCTGGCCATTGCTCTTTAATCTAAACTCAAAGAAGAGATTTATCGGCTGCTGAAGGAGTAAGGAGAAGCCCAATTATCCCTTGTCACTTTCCGAAATTTCTGAATAATCTCTATGTTTTTGTTGAGAAATTCCAATTATGATATTCCACAAAATTGGGTGATGTAAATTATATTTCTTGAGCTGTTATTAATGTACCAATTTATAAACTGGGGGGTGATGGTGTTGTTCCTAAGTCCTTATTAACAAACACCAATTACAATATACCAGTAAATTCAGGTAATCTTCTCTCTCTCTCTCTCTCTCTCTCTCTCTCTCTCTCTCTCTCTCTGTCTGTCTGTCTGTCTGTCTGTCTGTCTGTCTGTCTGTCTGTCTGTCTGTTTCTTTCTCCCTTTCGGTTATTCTTTGAGGGACAGGAGTGACCGGCTCGCTAGTGCCTGTAACTCACACTGTCAATTTACCCGAAAGGAAAAACGAGGCAGAGAAAGGAAAAAGAAAGCACAGGAGTGAAAGAATATATTGAAAGTGTGTTTGAAAAGACTGTAGAGAGAGAGAGAGAGAGAGAGAGAGAGAATTTATGAAATGAACAAAAAGTGAAAGGGCATAGAATATGTGATGAAGGAGGAATGACCGTGAAATAGAAAAAGTCTCGAAAAAGATGAATGAAATAAAAAGTAAAATTTAAAGTTTATAAACAGAGATAAATGAAATAGAAAGTGTATCTAATGTAAAATGAACGAAGAAGAAATAAAATAAAACGGAAATTAGAAAGTTGTTATGAACTGGTTGATTTATGAAAATAAATGAAAATAGAACGTTCATAAAAAAAATAACGGAGAAATAAAGTTATGAGGAAATTAAAAGTGAATATACAAAAAAATACAAAATACACATATAAAAGTGAAACGAAAGCGGACGAAAATAAAAGTAATAAAATAGAAAGTATTGGTTGTGAAAGGCGAAGGTTTAGAGGTTGAGGCACACACACACATACACACACACACACACACACACACACACACACACACACACACATATACACACACACACATACACATACACACACACACACACACATGCACACACACACACATACATACACACATATACACACACACACACACACACACACACACACACACACACAACTGCCTCCCGTCGAATGGTCATTATCGAGCAGTTGTCCTCAGGTGAAGCTTTTGAGCGGAGTGAAAGGGAGGAACTGTAGACAGAGGTGTTGTACAGTCTACTAGGGGTGTAGCCAGGCCAGAGTAACACAGTGTCCCAGAGGTGTAGCATGGTGCACATTCTTTAGCACAATACACATTCTTTAGCAAAGTGCACATTCTTTAGCATGGTACACATTCTTTAGCAAGGTACACATTCCTTAGCACAATACACATTTTTTAGCAAAGTGCACATTCTTTAGCATGGCACACATTCTTTAGCAAAGTACACATTCTGTAGCTTGGTACACATTCTTTAGCATGGTGCAAATTCTTTAGCACAGTACACATTCTTTAGCATAGTGAACAATTATTAGCATGGTATACATTCTTTAGCACAATACACATTGTTTAGCACAGTACACCTTCTTTAACATAGTAATATTATTTAACACAATGCACATTCTTTAGCATAGTGAACATTGTTTAGCACAGTACACATTCTTTAACATAGTGAACATTCTCCAGTACAGTACACATTCTGTAGCACATTGCAGCATTCTTTAGCATAGTGAACATTCTTTAGCATAGTGAATATTTTTAGCATGGTACACATTCTTCAGCACAGTGTACATTCTTTACCCTAGTGAACATTCTTTAGCATAATGAACATTGTTTAGCACAGTACAGTTTCTTTAGCATGGTACACATTCTTTAGCACTGTACACATTCTTCAACATAGTGAACATTCTCTAGTACAGTATACATTCTTTAGCACAGTACACATTCTTCAACATAGTGAACATTCTTTTGCATAGTAAACATTCTTTAGCATAGTAAACATTCTTT